GAAAAGTTAAAATTAACTGTAATTTCATGAGTCTTTATACTTTGTTACGATTTCAAACAGGTTTAAAGCTTTCTTTACACAGATATTACGCATAATGAAATATGAAAAGCAGATTTTCTCGCACCCCCCCAAAAAAAACAGAAGTATCTGGGAGGTTTTTGCACTGTATATAAGTGTCATATCAAGAAAATTACAAATTGACTTAAATTTGCTTTATAAGGCCTCATTCATGTAATTCAACTATTTAGAATATGATTTTAGTGTAAACATATTAATATAATTACACATTTTAAAGTTGCAAGTTCTTTGGGAAATTTCATTTTGTAATCTTGAGCTTGAATAAGCTTGAATTTATCAAGTTACTTACAAGCATGATGAAAATTAATAATTATTGTAAATTAATTAAGTAATTAATACACATACTATTGTCTGGATAAACTTAGCAATGTACCATATATTTATATAAAACAAAATTAAATATATATGTTTACTGATAAATCATTGGTTGAATCTTCATACAAAGTTCTACAATTGCCTACAATATATTAAGACAATTCAGATCAAATAAAAAGTAATAAGAAAAATTATGCCGAAGATCACTAAGGGTAAAGGAATGAAATTTGTGCAATATTAAATTTAATTCATGAAATTTGTATAAAGTTCACTAATTCAATGAATTCTATTTATTGTTGAAAAGCACTCATTAATAAAGGCTAAAAATTAAAAACTGGGGGATTAGGTGACCCACCAGAAGATAGGGAGATTTGGCAGGTATGATAGGATGTTGCTGAGTCTCTAACACTAAAAGTTACTTATTTCAGGAATTATTTTTCAGAATTTCAAACAGGAAAAAAACTTCCAATTGCCCTAAAAACTTAGGCTATTTGAAATATGATTAAACTGAAAAATTTTGCTTCAGACTGAGGTTTAACCCTTTGAAGACCAGCGCGTGGAGAACGGGTTAAAAGAGTATGCCAGTGATAAGAGATCCCAGAAAAGTCAAGGCAGATTTTTCAAAGCATTTTTTTAATAAAACACTCAGAGGGGGAACTAAAGAAAAACAAAGCAATGAAATGAATGTATTATTTACAATAAGAATACAAAACCCGCATACAAGCTTGTCAATCTTTCATATCATAAAGGAACAGAATATGGTCAGAAATGAAAAAATGGGGGGGGGAGAATAAATGTCTATTGCATGTACTTTCAAGAATTCCTTATCTAGCACTCATTAATTATTTAACAAATACATCTGAAGAGAGAGATAGTTAATTAAAACTGGTTGCATAAATTAATAAACCTGTATCCAAAAATTTCTATATAAATCAATCACTCTAATGATTTCAATTATTATATTATAAAAATAAAGACAAAACTGACATAAACAGTACAGATACTATTCGGGAACATAAATAAACTCAATATTTATAATTTCATTTAGCATGTTTGTTGCAATGTGAATATGTTTTGGTGACATTTTTAGTTTTCCATGAATTACTAGCTTTGGAAGAAACAGACCGTGATTGCAAAGAAAGTCTTCTGGCTATTGTTAATTAAAATCCTTTTTTCCTTCAAAGTTTGTTTCCATTCAGCCGTAGTTCTTAAAAATAAATTAAGAAGGTTGGTTGATTTAAAACTATTGCCCTCTGTGACAGGATTGAATGGTAATCTGATTTTTAGTTGAAAAGACGGAAGACATATTATGAAAGCGTAAGCCTCCAAGGCATTCATTTAACAATTATTGACAATACTTTAGAAGGAGAAATTCCAAAGGCTGACATGGAGATTGATCCACTCTGAGTTTTCAACTGGCGATCAGAAAGCAAATTCAATAGGTTATAAAAAGTTCAATCATAAATTTCTGAAATTTAACCGAGTATTTGGCAGATTTTGAAATTAATTAAAGATATTGCAATAAATATATCGGTTCAAAAACAAAATTAGGAAATACTATGGTGAATTATATTGCTGTAGTTACACCTGGTATTTTAGAAAATTCCAGTAAAAGGAATTTTAAACTACCAAAGTTGAAGCTTCAGAAATTTAATGGGGAAACCCTATATTGGTTATTTGGGGGACAATTCAGAAAAAATGATGAAGATATAGATGATGACAAACTTCAGTATCTATTACAGCCTATTGCCACTGAATTTCTCCCAGCAAAGAGCTTGGAGATAGTAATACTCCCTTAGGTGCGAACCATAAAGAAGCTATCAAGCAACTAATTTTCAGATTTGGAAGTGATGTATTACTGATGGAAATATAAGTTTGCGAACTATTAGGTTGGTTTTAGCTCAAGCTGCTAAAGATGGAAATATGACTCTATCCAATTTACATAATAAGTTAGAAACTCAAATCAGAGCTTTGGAGATGTTATGGGTAAAAAGTGAGATTGATACAGCTATACTACATTCCCTTGTGGAGTGTGCATTGCTGGAAGAAATTCTGTGGGCATGCAATCACTGTCATCACTCTAAAAAAAAGCTGCACACACTGAAAACTTGAAACATTTGTTGAATTTTCTAGATATTAAAGTTTAAAGTAAAAAATGTCTTCAATTGGCATGTACAGGCTTTTCTTTTCCAGACAAAGCTGACCCTTTTTCAGCCTCAGCTGCTTGCATTTATGCAGGAGATTCAAAGGCACAACTTCATTTTTGCAAAGTTTCAAAAGTTGAACTTCTGAATAGCAAAAATGTTCCAATTTTAGAAAATTGCAAGCTAGGAGGATTGTTCAGGGACACCAACAAACTCTACATCTATAATTTAGCATGTTTATTGTAAACATTTTGTGGCAAAATTTTATTATTAGTTTTCTTTGAAATTTTAACTTTGTAAACAAATAGACTGTGATTGTAAAGAAGGTCTTCCAGCCATTGTTAATTAAACAGGTTTTATCTTCAAAGTTTGTTCCCATTTGTCTGTAGCTCTTAAAAATAAATTAAGAATGTTGGTTGATTTCAAATAGATACATTACCAAAAGTTTCAGAAAGCTGAGGAGATGTCCTATTTCCTAGAGGATCATCGAGGTAATAATAAGCAGCTTGGAAGTATTTCCTAGGCAAAATAATTAAAATTTTAATGCTATTTTTTCATTACATTTAAACTGTAAGTCACAACAAAATAAGATCTTAAAAATTCCATGTGAACATTCAAATAATGTAGAAGTACGCAAATTAAATATATACACATAATGATCAGAATTCTCATTACTAATTTTATAAATTTTTGTATTAATTTTTATTCAGAATTAAAAAATATATTACACATATATTTTGTCTAAAAATACTAATTATGCAGGTGACACTGAGTTAGCTAGTGCTGCTTATTACACAAAATGATACAAAGAGGGGGGGGAAAAATTTCATACCTCCACAAAATGAATGAAACAATTGCTAAAAGCAAAGCAAAAGAAGCACACATAACACCAGCAACCATACCAGCACTCAGTGAAGAATCAGAATATGAATAAGGAACACCATGAAACACTACAAAGAAAAATACATCAAATATGATATAAATTCATACTTATGAAAAATAAATTTGGTATCAAGTATAGGAAACCATTATGATTACGTACTAGGGCACTTGTTTTGTAGAAGTACTTTCCTTGGCTCGGAGAACTGTCCTTTAAAGAGCTTTGAGTGTTCAATAACACTTCGAGTTGCTCCTCTCACCTTCACTTCATACATTGTATTTGCAGTCAGATTGGGAATAAACATCTAAATGGAGAATTATTTCCAATTTTTCATTGTTATAAAGGAAAATATGAACAGTAAATTGTAATCTCTAGTATATGAGAATATGAACAGTAAATCTAGTCCTAAACTATCCATTTTAAGAGGAACTAAGAAATATACTGTCATCATGACAGTATTAAAATCATATCTAGAGTAAATTTCCTAATTTTAAATATAAAACAGAATTAGAAAAACATTATAAAAGAAAAACATTTCAAAATTTCAACTGTTTTCTATTCACGGTAAAAAATGGCATATGGGAACATTTAATGAAGTATAACAGTTAAACTCACTCCATGATCAATTGCCCTTTCATGAGGTGATGCCATGGCAATTTCTTCAAAGTCCCAATTATTTTCAGAACGATAATGGACAAAATAATAATCAATACGATTGAAAAAAACCTGAGGTCTTTCCCACTGAACATATAGGCTATCAAGTGTCTGACATGTCAAGTTTACAATGTATGGAGCACTCGGACCTAGTAGAAGAAAAAGAAAAAAGTCATTATTTCTAACAGATTTTTAAATGCATGATAAGTTCCAGCTAAATTAAAATTTACTTTACCTTGGACATCAGTGTGGAAATCTAACACCTTACTTGGTTCACCTTCATGCTTCCAAGTATATGCATTAACCCATATCTTATAATGACTGAAAGGTTCTAAAAGGGAAAAAAAATCATGAAAATTATGTGACAAAATATTAACAGAATACATGGGAAAAATTCAAGACAAACTAATGAGATTTAATGAGAAAGTAATGTGAATATAATTTAATTTTGGAATGACAATTTCTAAACATTTTGCATGACTTAATATAACAATATGTAAAAGGTATAAGCCCAAACTTTTTAATAAAATAAAACATTCAGTAGCATTTGATGTGATAGTAAGCTGCCAATAGTTGATAATAATGAATTGTCGATTAATGTTTAATAATAAAAAAGTTTACAATAGCATATTAAATATATACACATAATGTTTAAAAGAGAATAAAAATGTTTATAATTGATGCAAAATTCCAAAATCTAAACTCTCAATACATCATCTGAAATTAACATGTGATTTATTTATACAATTATAACAACTTTAAACTTTACAGTTGCAGGCCCATTCAAACTATGTTTGAAATGCATTATCAAATTATTAACTAGTTCCTAAAGTTTACCTTGCTATCAGTAAATTTTCAACAAGAAATTGTTAAAAAGGTCAACATTCATAATACTTTTTATTAAAGGAAAAAACTAGTTTATTTTTCATCTATACAATTAAATCATTATCAATTATGATAATAGCAGATAATGCTCAAATTATACTGAACATAGAACAAAATGTAAGGCTTATATTGTTTTTGGACTATCTGATATGAAAATATTTTTGCACTCGTATCATCCATCATTTTACTCGTATTATCAGACAGAGGAATTATTACTATTTATCTGACAGAGACGAATTACCACTAATTATCAGACAAAACAATGTACATTTTTTTAATAAAATAAAACTCCAAATTAAATTAGAAAGAACAGCTATGTTGCATTATTTAGCCATATTCCAGAGTATTTTACCTGAACTTCTACTAAACTGTTCACCATTGCTAGAAGGTCAAAGTGTGAAAAATGATCATGTATTGTAATCTGTTTCTAAATTTTACTAGCTTGTGAATTTTTGTCTATGGGAATTTGTTGCATGTTATGCTTACCCACCATACTATAAAAGTTTTCATACTGAAATTGGTACCTGATATGAAGCTAGAATGCACCAAGCATGAAGTCACCTGCAGCTTTGATAAACACAAATTTATGAGAAATGAACATATACATTGCCTGACACAGTAAACTTTCATCTTTTCTCTATCAAGCGATGTAAAATATATTTTCAAAATATAAGCAACAATAATTTCACATGCAAGTAAGACTTTTTCACTTTTTTAACTATTTTCTGTTCTACAGATTCTATACAGAACACTTTTAAGTTTATACCTTCATTTCCCTATTTCCAGCCGTTTAGACACCTGTATATGTATTTTTACATATACATGGACATCTGGGACAAACATACTGGGTGCAGCAGCGTTCATAGCGTAATTTGACTTGCGTAGCACAATGACGTACTGCATGATTACATGCCAGCTCATGCTGCATTCGTGTACTAATGAGCTGCCATTTCCAGTGTGACTGTGATACGGATCGTTGGAATGCACAGCATTGTGCATTTGCCGTTGAAAGTTATTTCAAGAATAAGTACTCTGTTATTGCTACCCAGCGTCTATTTCAGCAACATTTCAACTTGGGACGTTATGGGAAAGTTCCAGATGGACGGACCACTGCGACATCCATTACCAGGTAGAGTAATTTCCCATTTTGGTGACATTTCCTCGCCACCCCGCTCACCTGACCTCATGTCTGACGGTGGGGGCCCTGAGGCAATAAGTTTCCGAAACACGTTGGGCCACAGTCTTGAGTTGAAGGATCACATCTGAACTGCCATCGGCAATGTCCCGGGAAATACGTTTCACCGAGTTATAGCAAGCTTCCAATGCCGCCGAGATGAATGTGTTGTGCAGAGGGGGTATCATATTCAAAAAATTAATCCATGCATTGGACAATGACTTTCACATTAGTAAATGGCATACCTTTAACTATTAATTGACATAAGAGGTAATAAGTAAATTACAGTTACTGCCTTATGGTGTGATTTTAATATACTACTATAAATGCTACAGCATCCTATACAATCAACGGATGAGTGTCTGCATTTCTAAAGCTGGGATTTTACATTTTTTCCATGTGGTTACCTGAATATTTACCAACTTATATATTAAATGTAACTTAGTAAAATAAGTCGTATGAAATAAATTCAAACTCCAATTCATCTAGTAAATACTAACTTAAGTTTTGGAGTACATAATCCATAACAGGCTGTGGATGTTGGGCTTTTCGCATCTCTGTGTGATTTTGGGCTGTGTGCAAAAAATAAACTCTATATCCTTGAATAATGCCATTTGGATTTACTGGTTCTTGCCATCGAAGTCTAACTGAACTGTCACCAACTTTGCCAATTGTCAAATTAACTGGCTCGCTTGGAGCTAAAAAAGAAATTTTCTTCTCTTTACATATTTAGATTTAATGCAAATTATCAAAAATTACAGTTTAATGTAAATGCAAATTTAATATTTTAATCAATTACATACATAACAGAAAAAACAGTAATAAATTATGAACAATTTTTATTTCAATAATTTAAATATAATCATTTGAACTAAATGGTAAACAATACAAGCAATCTTTCTGTTTCATATCATTGCATGAATGATCAGAAGATCTACCTTTTTGGTTAACTACACTACTGGCTTTTCAAGTATTGAAATAATATAAATATTTAGGCATAACTTTAATAACAGTTGCATAGTCCAAACCCAGATGTAAATATTCATTCCATGAAAACTCTGGAAGATAAATATATGAAGACTTGCACAAGAAATTAAAGTGTGTGTACATGTAACCATATACCTTGTACAAAAATATACAATTTTAGAATTGGGAACTTTATTATGAGTGAGGAAAGAAAGGGGAAAAATTTTTTTGAGTGGCAAAATGATGATTATGAATATTATACTTCCGTGCATTGTGTGTTAGTTATATAAAATTTAAGATAATCACTGTTTCATTACTTGAAACTATTTTCAGATTTTTATGAGTTCCTAAATAAAAAATATTCTTAAACATCACTTATAAAACAAAGAGTGGTAACAAGGGTATATAATCTGAAACTATCTATAATGGTACAAATGTGTAAATTTAAATCTTCAAGGCAAAGGCTGCATTGCAATCATACACATTAAACTGTGATCAATTCATGCCTAAACTGTGTTTGTTAAATGCACAAAACTAGAAAAAGTAAGGAAATGTGATCTGCATTTCTCTTTCTACCTTTAAAGGGGCTAAATTCTTTAGATCAAACCTTAATTCCCTTTAATCTAGGGCCTATATTCTGCCAGAGCACATCACAGCTTTGATACAGTACTTTGCAGTTTGTTTGGGGAGGTATTATTCTAGTTGAAGCTCACAGCAGTACTAAATAAAATAAGCTATGAAACTTTATTGTAAATCTGAATAGCAGTATAAACAACAAATTCTATTATTCATGTAACAAAGAAATACTAATCAATTTATATTAATAATGATTAATAAAACTAATTTCTTTACATTTGTAATAATTCTGTGAGCATTTTTATGGTTGTGTAGTAAAATTCTTCACATCTTTTTATTTCCTTGTACAAAGTAAATGAAGTATTGCAATGGTGAAAAGTTTTCCATATTATGTTTTAATGAAACTATCCACTTTGACCATTCCCGAATGCATCTGCACAATTTTTTAGCATGACATTTATAGGTATGACAGTATAAAGGACTCTTTTTCTCCAGAATGTTTTGCAAAATGGATTTAAAAGTGACTTTTTTCATGATGCCTGTATTTTATTTACGTACACATCTGCTATAACATCTAGTTGTGCATCTTCCTTTTTTATTGCAATCAGCAGTACCAAACATACATATGTTACCCTAATTTTTGCAATCACTGGTTGCAGTCATGTACTTCCAATCACAGAAGTACTCTAAATGACAAAAATATTTACGTTTTGGCAATATCAAATTTAAAAAAAGTTAAGTTTCGTCACATAATAAAATCTAGCTACAGTTCTAGCTATATAATAACAGTTTATACGTGCAGCAAGTCTAACAATACATTTAATGTCAGTTTATATTTATTCTACAAAGAATATTCTTTAAATTTATAATTGCAATGTGGAATTGTCTCAACCTGCTTGGACTGTACATTACATATGTTATATACATCTACATAAGTTAATAATAACTCAGCTATTTCATTTGGCAAACTCCTGCACACTGGTTATAAATATTAATTTTGATCTTACAGTGTAAAACATACAATTTTACTATATGATTACTACTTAAGTAATCAAAGGTAAAAAAAGAAACAATCATACAGGAGAAAGAAAGATAACATGATGAAATACATGCCAAAAATTCAACTGTCAGTTTCAACTTGCCTTGAGGGATTGGATTGGATTATTCAATTATGGTAAAGCACACGAGGGCTATCTGCCTGAGGGGAGGGATGCCTTCGTGGAGGACTTTCTAATGGAAACTGGCTCATATATTCGTTACACATAGGGAAAACGCCCATGCAGCCAGCCCGTTCGCGAGATTCGAACCTCAGACCGAACTACCAGGAACTACCAGTGTTCAGCGTCTTTACCGCTTGGCCGCTGGTGGGCCCTTGCCTTGAGGGATCCATTAATTAAGTAGAATAATTCGAGGAAATAAGTTTAAATAAAGTACAGCTAAAATGCATGTAATTTAATAGCCTGAACAAAAAAGTTGTGGTGTCCACAACACATTTTTTTATTTCTAGATTATTGCAAATGTATTTATGAAATATTTCAATAAAATTTCATTTATTTATCACACCACAGTGTCATTACTTTTACTGTTTAACCTAATTTTCATGATATAATTATTATATTATATTTACACTAATTCATTATTATGCATATATGTATAACTTATTTTATAATTTTGTTTAATTACTCATTATCTATTATGCTCATTGTTACTTATTTATGTTCATTACTCTTGGCCATCTCTCCACAGCACACCAGCACTTTTAATTTTAGAAATTAGACCTACTTTCATTTAAAACATGTTTAAGATGAGAATGCATGAAATTATTCAATACAGATTTGGCTAATTATTCAGGAAAGGTTTTTAAATAAAGATGGGTAATGAAGCACAAAATATAAACTCAGAATTATCAGGAATCGAATTTTTTCATAATATCCAAGTACAGTTGCCAAAATTTAATTTTTGCAACTAAAATAGAAATGTTATAAATAAGGAAAAATTCTTAAATAGTAAAAAACAGAATGAAATTTTCTATAGCCAGAATACAGTTAGGTTTCAATTCAAGAAGAAAATAAAACTAGAATTCATATTTAATATGCATAAGGGTACACTTAATATGAAAGTAAAATATGTTAGAAAAGTAAATTTCAGTATTATACAAAAACAGTGTATAATACATTAACTCATGTGCTCATTTAATCTTCTAAATTCTCACAATCCAATGATTCTCTTAAATACAGGGTGATTATAATTAAAGTTTAAGTTTCAAAACGCTATAAAAAAAGAACCACTGATGAAAATGATGTGAAATTTGAAAGGAATGTTATTGAAAAAGCCGGAAAGCATATGGCAGAAGAAAAATTTTAGTTTCAAAAGTTAGCAACAGATGGCGCTGTAAGAGGCAGAATCACGACGAGAAACGAGAAATGATTCGTAAAACAATGGCTAAGGTGGAAGTTACACATTAAAACGCATTGAAAAATTAGAATTGTTGAATAATTTTATTTGCATGACTGTACATATCACATCGAAAGGGACAAATCGGTTTCAAGAGTTTTGCGGCGACATACCGCATAAGAACCATTCATCAAAGAAGTTCGGGACTGTCGCGAGACTGTCGCAAAACATGTTCAATATGGTGTCCACCATTGTGTGCAACAAGTTGAAAGTGACAAACAGCATGTTCCACAACGGATCGCAGTGTCTCCGGGGTGATGTTCAGAATGTGTTGCGAAATGCGTGCCTTTAATTCCGCTAAATTTGCAATTGGAGCACGGAACACAACATCCTTCAGATGCTTTCACAGCCAGAAATCACACGGAGTAAGATCAGGCGATCGGGATGGCCAGGATGTAGGGAAATGACGGCTGATAATTCGAGCATTTCCGAAATGGCACCTCAGCAGCTGTTTCACGGGATGTGCAATGTGCGGAGGAGCGCCATCTTGCATAAAAATGATTTCATCCACACATCCATGCTGTTGCAGACATGGAATCATGTGGTTGCACAAAGAGACGCTATCTGACCAGTGACGGTTGCGGGAACAGGACCGGAAGCACCCGTTTGCTCGAAAAAATATGGTTTGTAGGATGAATGATGCCGTAAAGCCACACCATACCGTGACCCTTTCAGGATGAAGTGGTACGGGGTGCGTTGCCAGTGGATTTTCTGTTGCCCATATTCGACAATTCTGGGTATTCACGTATCCTGTCAGATGGAAATGGGCTTCATCTGTCCACAAAATTTTCCACGGCCATTCATTATCCACTTCCATGCGAGCCAGGAATTCTAACGCAAACGTCTCCCCAGCTGTCAGGTCGGACGGAAGCAACTCCTGCACATGGCCAATTTTGTACGGTTAGCATTGCAGAATGTTTCGCACAATTTCAGCACTGTGCTCATAGCCTGTCCAATGTTCGGACAATCCTCGTGCACTGCAAACGTTTGCACACCACCGGCGACCCTCCTGTAATGCTGTGGCCACTTCTTCAACTACCGTCGAATGCACTCGTTTTCTCCCTCTACCAGATTGCACATCAAACGAACTTGTCGTTTCGAATTTTTGCATCATTTTCTTTAGACATACGACACTCATTGGACCAACGCTTCTTTTTAACCCTTCAGTGTCCTGAATTTTTGCAGAGCTACTCTTGACAATCATCATTCTTGTAATACAGCTTTACCAGCAGAGCGCAGTCCTGCAGTGAAACACCCATGGCGAACGTCTGAGACGCGAAATGAGGAACAGCCTGGTATCTGGTGGCTTTATAACACTGAAATTTAACTAACATTTTAATTTAAGTCTTCTTTCGCTTGCAGCGCCATCTGTTGCTAACTTTTGAAACTAAATTTTTTCTTCTGCCATACGCTTTCCGCCTTCTTCAATAACATTCCTTTCAAATTTGACGTCATTTTCATGAGTGGTTCTTTTTTTATAGCGGTTTGAAACTTAAACTTTAATTATAATAACCCTGTATATTAATTTTTACAGCAAATAAATATTTGATAAATTGTGTAATTTACACAGCAAAAGTTTTCCATGAATTTCATACCAACTAACTATGGGTTTGGATAAGATTCGTACTTTCATGCTAATGGGGTGCCATCTATCTAGACGGCACAACCTAATAATGCATAAAGCTTCATGAAAAGAATGACTCTTTTTATGAAACCCAGAATAAATATAAAGACAAATGCAAAATAGATTTTATCTGATTAACTTCAGATTATACAGGAGGCATAAAACTCCAGATTTCATTTAACACTCCTGAAGAAATATGAGTCTTTTGATGCAATCATCGTCACATGAAGTCAATGAGATAGGAATCTAGATGATGGAAGCCACAGCTGCATTGAAGTTTATCATATCAATTTAAACATGGCATCTTATATCAAAATTAACAACATTGTATTTGTCATTAGCTTGGAAGTGTTCATATCTGGTAGCTGCTAATTCATGCGCTTAAGAAACTGAAAATCCTGGAGATAAAATTCCTGAATTGATATTTTCTTCCTGCTAATTCACAATATATTGTTATGTTTCTCTTCACATACAGGTTCGTAGATTTGGAGTGAATAACAACGATAGCACATGATGAAATATCAAAACACAATTTATTTAGCTGGTACTATTCGAGACAGCTCCAAAATCACGTTTACAGCCATCAAAGAACTACTATAAACATGCTGAAACAATCAGCAACATAGCCTTCAGCCTATAGCTGTGAAGGCAGTTTCACGGCAAGGCACCAGAGTACAGCTCCCGACTCTGCTGGGTTGTTCTTGCAACTCTACGCACTCTCGAGATGCACTTGACGATACACTAAAGTACAGCTCTCGACTCAATTCGTTTGTTTTCGGAGATCAACACACTCTAAGATGAAACTCGACAATGCACTAACTCGCGATACACTAAGAGACTCTCTTGATGTACTCGAGGACCAACTCGGCACTGGGCTACGAAACATTCACTCACCGACTCTTAACTGACTCGAATAGGCACTCACTTTCTGCATACCAGCAGGGTTTATATAGCTCTTGTCTTACGTTTGAGAATATTCTGGGCCAAACAGGTAAGAATTTGTTCCAGAAGGTTCTCCGTCCATCTATGGCATATCACCAATTTTGTCGCCAAATGGACGATTTCTCCCCAAATATGGCAACCATGCCTCCTTCCCTTGCCATTTTTTGAGAACCCTAAACCCACTTTGCACGGTAGCTATCTTACCGCAGCTGGACATTTCATAACAATATCATTTCACATATATTCATGACACGTTGTCTTAGGCAGATAGCTGCAGTGTGCTTTGCAGTATCTAATAAACCAAACCAATCATGACACAATATAACAGGCTACCACATTTAATGACTGGAAACTCATTAATAGAAAAGTTACAAAAGATTTAACGTAAGATTATTCACGAAGCCTTTTTCACTGCTCCTCTTCATAATTTCTCTCTCAATAAAACAAAGACGGTGTTTCATAAAAGGTGACTACATTCTTCACTGCAATAGATGTTGATCTTGCATGCGTTCTTCCAAAGATCTTACACATGTACATAGTTTCTCAAAATAAGGCAAAAAATTTTTACGGAAACAGTTTTATTATTGGGAGCAAAAACTGTAAATACAGTAAAAGCTCAAATATGTGGAGAACTGAGATAAGGCAAATGCCAGTTACATGAAAATTAAAAATAGTTGAAGGTATAAAAAGTGCAATTTCCAAGAAAAAATTTTCAGTCTAAAATTATAAAAAGTCGTTTGATTTATTGTAGTTGTAAGTCATCTTGAATATCAAAAGCCTACACTTAATGTTATGCAAGATATTGAAAAAAAATTACATTTCATACATAAAAATGGCATATGTTTGTTGGTCTTGAATATATGAAAGTAAAATATGTTATCTGATTACAAAATTCCAACAACCAGGAAAACTAAAGATCCTGCCAAACTTGTGTTGATCATTTCAGATTTTGAAAAGACATGAATGCTCCATTTAATGCAGAATCCAAATTTTAATCACTTTTTTCAAAATGCGAGGAAGAAAACATAGACAGCAGTTAACTTATATCTTTCCTTACTTAATCCTTCTTTACTTACATCTTTCTTTACCTTCTTATATCCTCACTTGGTTGATCTTTACAATATGGTAACTGGTAGTTTGGCGACATTTTGGAGGCGATAAAGGTTACTACCTGGGACTTTGGTAATAATGTGAGCAGTACTCAGTGCCGATTACACATTATTTTGTGTGAGGGAAATGAGAGATCATGGGATATGTCATGTGATGTTAACGGACGAATTACGGTTCTTTAATCGGAAAAGGGGAGAAATCGGGAAAAAATCTGGAAATTTTGTATTTGGCTTTATTCTGTGTTGTGTGAAACAGTGTTGGTTAATTTTTGGATCCCATGGCTGTATAACTAAAGTGAATTCGAAATGGGTATTTAGTGGTATTGAAAAGGGTAGTAATAAATGTTTGTTAAGGTTGTTGTGCGAGATAGAAATAAAGATGTTTTATTAAGTTATTTATTTTACCTGGTACCTTGCTGTGAAAATATAAGTATTGATTTTAAAGATCCTGAAACAGAAAGAAGAAAAGTTTATCGGACACGTAATCAAGATTCTGAAGAAGATTAGGTAAGTTAGTATTTTTAATTATTTGAGGATATTATTTTTATGCATTGTTCTAAATGTAGGTGCAAAGGAATTTGGTATTATTGGGAAATTGTTATTAGCAATGATTTAGTTTAAAGTAATTAGGATTGTAAGGTAATTTTTATTAATTTAATGTAATGTGCTCATTTATATTTTAAGTAGTGTTTTTGAATTTAATTATATTTTAATGAAAATGATAGTTATTTTGTGAATTTTATGTTTGTAGGAATTTGGTATACGTTTTAAGTTGAAGTAAACGTGCATGGAAATAATTTAAATATCTGACACTAAGTATTTGTAATGGTTGCGGTATGAATTCGTTGGTGACGTTTTTTATAATATAATAGATGATTTAGAGGTAAAAGTTTTTTGGATATTTTATTTATTTTATATGTGGAAATGTTCATATTTGGAAAGGGTAAATACTTTTTCGCGATCAGGTATTTCATATATGTTCTTTTACGGGTTTAAAGATTGAGAAAATTGTCATGTATTTTCGTGAAATTTTTCTAATTTATGAGAAAAAAGCAGTGCACATGGATATAGTGAAGAGTGTGCGCAATGCCATTTTTTTGTGCAATTCTGGGATGTTTTTTTAAGTAAAAATAAGTCGGCGGGTGTGTACATGGTTTATGTGTATGTGTTATTTTGAAAAACGCGTAAAGAGTATGGTATTGTGCACTTTTTCCGAATTTTGCAGTGAATATTTGTCATGATTAAGCAGTTTTGTTTGATAAAATTTCTAGCATAAGTGTAATTCGGCTAGTAGATTGTTGGAAGAAGTGTTCAGTAGATAAAAAGAAAAGAAACATGTCTTTACTTCGTGAAGACAAAATGGCGGCGGGGAAAAAAAATAGGGGGTTGCTGTAGGAGAGTTGGTTGCCAAATTTTCGCCAAAAAATCGCCAAGTTACCATAATGTAAAGATCAACCCCTCACTTCTTTGCCTTCTTATAAAAACTAAACTGTCTTATCAAGAGTTAATTGGGAATAAAGCCGAGGCAAAAATATTATGATTGCATTGTGACATCACCCTTATCAATAACATTACACCATTTTGTAAAGATTTTGCTAGTCAAAAACGGCTGACATATGGTGAGAATAATTCTTACAACAGACCGAATAAACACTTGTGAAATTTGGAATCCTTCATATGTTCCCCCGTCTTACTAATTCCCCATTTCTCTTACAATCATGAACACCCAGTTTCAAGGAGAAATTCTTGAAACAATACGATGGACAAAACGGATGTAATTAACATTTGAAAGATGGCTTGCTCGGTAACTATATTCACATTTGAGATGTTATAAGCAAGGTTCGAGTTGTATTTCTGTATCTGCTTTCACATGGTTTACAAGTCTCTCATTTACTTAGATGTTCATAAAAAAGCTTCTAAAATTTTAAAACATTCCAATAACTTCAGATGTTTTATTAGTTTAATGTTGGATAGCCTGGCTTTTACAGAACAATATTTAACTCTTAACAGCCCCTTAATGAAAAAAATGAAATTTGTAAAATGCCGATTATAACACTTTAATACGTTACACTCAAAAAGACGCTAATGAACTCTTCAGACATATTATTAACATTTTCATGAGACTATTTACAAAGTTAATAACAAGAGTTAACCAGTATGGAACCATTAATCATAGAAACAATTATTTTTATCCTGTAGCTTCTTCCTAACTTTGGTGAAAATCTGCATGAAACTGCTTGGCCTTAGGTACTAAAAAGTCATCTTCAGTAAATTTGTTAACAAAAATCTCAAAAAAAAAAAAAAAAAAAAAAAAAAAAAAAAAAAAAAAAAAATTACTTGCAAAGGTGCAAAACATTTTATATTTAATTAAAAAAAATATAATGAAAATTTTATATTTATATGAGACTTTGTAATTTTGGGGTATTTCACAGAGGAAAAAAAAGTTAAATTTATTAAACAAAATAGACAAAAATGGCAATTTTTGAATAATTTCATTGTTAAGATTCATGTAGAAGTAATATGCTTGTAACAAACAGCTGCTAAAATAATGTATATAAAACATGGATTCATTCCACCTTCAATGTTATGTTTGCAAAACAGTTCTAAATTTAGCATTTAAAGAAATTCAGCATTTTAACTAGTCCAAAACTAGTGGAGGGTGAAACTAAAATTACTATAAAATCTAACAGTATAATTATAAAAGAAAAATCTATTAAGAATAATACAAAAAATACTAATGGCAGTATCTGACGTACTTCCTTCGTCAGTCATTACTGCAACTGTCGCAGCTGGACCATGACCTGCAGGATTGAAAACTTGAACTGAAATCAAATACTGCGTAAATATATCCAAATTTCTTATGGTGAAATGCTGAAAAGAAATCAATATAAATTTAAGCACATTAGCTAACTACAATACACAAGAATTACAACTTGATAATAATTTATTGTCAACTCTATGAAAACGTAATATACTTCAAGGGGAAAAATGAAACTGCATATGAGAAATTCAATTTTTTAATTAACTCTAAAAACATAAAAAGAACCTGATGTATAAAATATGACATTTTCTGGAGTATAGCTCAAAGTTTTAGGCCAAAAAAGTATTCTCTAAAAAGTCTGATTTATATATGCTGGATATAAGAAATCATAAGAGCTTCTACTTACATATACTAGCTTAGTTTATGATTATGTTGAATAAAAGTGAATAATTATTAGATAATTGGACATGTTATATATTATTATAATTGGAATTTAGCATTCCAAATAAAACATTTAATACAAAAAAAAAAAGTTCCTACTTATAAAAACTGTGGATTAATCTTTGGATTATGGTAACTTGGCGATTTTTTGGCGACCAACCCTGCTACAGCAAACTGCTAGTTTTGTTTTGAAAGCCATTTTGTTTTCACGAAGTAAAGGCTTTTTTTTTTTTTTTTTTTTTTAACTCAACATTTTTTCCAACAATCTGCTAGCCGAATTACGCTTATACTAGAACTTTTATGGAACAAAAATACTTAATCATGACGAAGATTGGGTGTGAAATTGGAAGAAAGTGCGGAATCGCAAACTGCTTGCCGCGTTTTTAAGAATTGCACATACACGGTATCATCCATGTACACGTCGACCTATTTTCACTTAAAAAAACATCCCAGAATTGCACAAAAATGGCATTGCGTACACTCGACTTTATCCATGTATACTGCTAAAGTCCTAGCTAGTAACCTTTATCGCCTGACCAAAATGTCGCCAAACTACCTGTTAACATATTCCTAAGATTAGCCAAATTGTGAACAATTGTTATTCTATTGAAATTATATAAAGAGAGGAAATAATAATTAGGGACCATATGCACTGGCAAAACATTTAAAAAATATATTTATTGCAGGTATACTTCATTACTATTATGGCTTCTGCTATTTAAATGGTTCCAAGATTACTGATCAAACTTATGTTGTAAACTGTCAGAATACAGCTGGCAGTCTTAACTTCAGTCACTCATAATCCTCCTACCATCAGAAGAGTTCTCAGTAGACCATATGTTATCTTTGTATTTCTACAGTATTTTTTCTTTTTATTTATTTATTTTTTTCAAAAAAAATTTAATTTTTGATTTGTTAAGAAGTGAAAAAGATGCTTTTAATCTTTCCCATGGGCTATAAGGACCAATTTTTTTTATGTATTAGGGCCATTAAGCCAAGCAGGTAGGATAATGATTTTTTAATAAACAAAGAGGCATCAGTTATTTCAGAATTCTGCAGGAGCAATCGATGCATATTTGGTAGGATCTCCACTAACTTTTAGGGTTTGATGGGATAATATGCAAGTACCTTATTTTTTATGGAGATATATAAACGGCATGTAACTAGGGGGAAGAGAAACATCTGTCTCCACGCACAGCATCCAGGAGATGCCAAATTCATGTTACAGTATCTGAGCCTGAAATGCTTTCCATTTTTGACAAACAGAAAGGAGCATAAAGTCTTCATTGCTCCCTTGGCACTGAAAATCCCAGCTACAGCTTTGTATATGAAGCACAAGGACTACAACAATTAATCTCGCATAACTGTAGAGTTAAAATGATTGATTGTCTCGCAACACTTTTTTTCAATTGCTGTGTTTGGTTGCACGTGCATGGAATGATCTTGGATTTTGAACTTGCTCTTATTTTGCTGTGGGTACCATCATTTGATAAGTTTGAGGTGGGTAAGGGGATGAATGTTGATGATCAGCAGAGCCAAAATGATGAAAAATTTAACTGAATTGCTTATGTAAAGGATAGAGGAGATGGTGGTGGGAAGTGTGAACATATACACGTGAAAAAAAGGTATGCTAAAAAATTGGCGTTTCATTTATTTATTCGTCTCCATGAGTTAGTTTTGGTTAAAAGATTTGCTGTTTAATATTTTTTATGTTAGGAAATGTGTATTTTTAGTTATTACTCTCTGTTTGTGTATTTTTCGTTATTTCTTCGTCTCCGTGTGTTAAGACAGTGGCGAATTTTTTTCTGGTTAACATGATAGTTTTAACTTCCTGATCTTGTTTAAGTGAAAATAGATTGATGTGTACATGGACAAAAATAAGGCAGTGCACAATGCCTTGTTTATGCAACTCTCTGAATTTTTATTTTTATTTTTTTTCTTTTCCCAAGTTAAAATAGGTCGATGCGTACATGAACAGCGAGTTTGTGTAAGTCTTTGAGTTCTTGTTAGTCCAACGGGGCTTTGTCCCTGAGGGACTATTTTTTTCATTTTGAGACGAATCACTCTGAATGTCAGTTTCAATTTTCAAACTGTTGCCACCAAATATTATCACCCTGTATCATATTTGAAGAAATTAAATAATAAAGAATCTGCATAAATGTATCTATGTTTCTCGCAATGTGATAAAATAATGGTACCTAGAGCCATCAAATTTTGAATGACGTAATCCTACTGCGAATATGGACATCTGGAAGTCGAAATTTGAAATGTGGTTAAAAGTATATTTACGGGTACCCCTTGGCGAAAATTGGCGGTACATGGATACAGAGTTTGTGCAATTATTTGACTTACTCCCTTGACTTTATCCATGTAGACATCAACCTATTTTCACTTAAAAAAACATCAAAGAATTGCACAAACTTGGCATTGCACACTCCCTTTGTCCATGTACACATCGATATATTTTCTCTAGAAAAGACAAAGGAGCACCCAATTCTAAGTAAAAGTATATTTACGAAACATTCAATACTAAGGTTAGCATAAATTAAACAACAACTTGGCAATAAACAAAACAACAACTTTGCTATAATTATATAATACAAGGGGTACCCTTCAGTCTACTCTAACCGAAATTTGTTTATCAATTTCATATTTTAAATTGTCAATTTCATATTTTGTAAACTGTTTGATTACCAAGCTCAAGGATTTCAAAGCGAGCAATGGCAACATTGTACAGGAAAAAAATTTTTATCTCCAACGTGCGAGACTGTTCTAAAGATTCACGTGAAAATTCTGAAGATATGCTCAATTTAAAACATTTAAAAATTATTTTGCGATATTTCTCTTGAACTGAATTTTATGGTTTAAATGTGAAGAACATGATATTTTAAATAAAGCTAACATTAAAATGTTAAAAATGTACCCCTTTGGACGTTAGTTAAAATCTGAAACCTTTCTGATTTTCTCTCTTTTCCCCCCCCCCTTTTTTTTTTTTTTTGTGTGGTTGTGTGTAGTGGGTGGGAGGATCAGCACCATCTTGAAATTGGTGCCAATCTTGGCATCAAAAAAAAGAGACGATTTCCCAAAGGAGTAAATTTTAACTGTATAATCATCATATGAAGTGAGATATCACAGATTTTACTTTAATATTAGAAATTACATATGATAGTTAGTATCAGGTGCAGACCAGTATTATTCTTTTTACATACTCATAAAAACACAATTTATTGGATAACAGAATTTTTAGTCACACATTATTTACATGTTAAATTACAAGAAACAAATTTAATACATCTTCTGACAGTTTTTATAGGCGTTTGGTGGGGGAGGAGACTAAAAAGGAATGAAATAAACAGCAAGTCTGCATTACATAAAGAGAGAGGTTTCTCTCAGATAATGAGATAATCCCATCGCCCTTAAACTACATAAAAATGAGTATCATGAAATCGTTCTAGGGCAGAATATTATTTATTTCGTTTTACTAGTAACATATAAAACAAATCATGTAACCATTGCTTTATAAGCCACATCAATGCTTTAAACAACTATTAAAAAAAAAAAAAAAAAAACCTCACAAAACACAGATTTAAATATTGACACCTATTGTCAGCCAAAGTAATGGTTATTCGATTACTTTTGGGGGAAAACCTGTATGCTATAAACGATTTTCCTTTTTATTCCCACAGATATCAAATATGCCCTAGGACGCATACATATATTTATTTTTATTAGCAAGCCAGAGAGTAAACAATGACAAATGACGCTACCAATAAACTTACTTAAATACTAAGAAATGGGTAATAAAACATCAAATTCATAAACATTACGCAGCACAAATATTTAAAAAACAAACGCTGCAAGAAGAGAAAAATGTAAGTAATTAACTAAATGAAAACAATAGCACGCTACAGCACAGATGTCACTCACCCTCAAAGTAGGATCCCGTAACGTGATTTCACGTTCTTCTTCAGGCCGGTCTCGTGGCCGATAGGTAATACGGTAGCCAAGAAACTCACCGTGTATCGTGTTTTGGGGAGGTGGCGCCCACTGGAGACGTATAGATGTACTACTAGTATTATAAGCACTAATTATAGTTGGTTTTCCGTCAGGAACTGAAAATGAAAATTGCATTACGCTAATGATTTATACAGAAAGGGCAGGCGAATATTAGCATACTAATATGAATTATTAAATATTAGCAAAATAACACAGTTCTAAAATAAATACAGTATTACATTAAGCAGGTACTTTTTAAAATTAAAAAATACTAGGCTTAATGTATCGTAAATAACAATATGTTTGTATAGGAAACCTTTCTTCAGAAAAGCTGCCATCCTGTTGAGGTCTACATGAGTATGCATGTCACAAACAAAAAAAAATTTACCATCAGTTGGTTTAATTTATCATCAAACGAAAATATTTTGATTTCTAAGTCTTCCCTCAGAAAAACAGCAAAAACATTATAAATTTTCGTTTCTAAGTACAGAAAATTTTTTTAAATTAAAATCAGATTAACAGCTTTTCACTACGAATTTTACATCATCGCAAAAGCTTCACCAGTTGCCAAGTGGTTAAGACCAGTGAATACTGGGTTCGATCCTAGGCGAACAGGCTGGCTTCATGGTTTTTCCCCATACGTCACGTGAATATAATTCAGTTTCCATTAAAATCCTTCCCTTCACTCACAAAGATATCCCTCGTAGGCTTTACCTTATTTAAAATAACCTAACCCCAAGGCATAACACGCGAAATATGAATTTTTCGAATTGACCGTGAGAAGTATAACTTATAAATAAGAAAATCCATTCAATTCTGCGTCACTTTCTTTAGATATACAGGTATAAGCTATTTTTGAAACTGTGCAAGTCGATTTCGAGGGCGATTAGGCACAGCTACCTCTTCTTCAGGAGCAAATTATCTTCGCAAATTTGAGTTTTTTCAAAAGCTTCGCTAGCCTAACACTACATTGTTGCCCAATTTTAAATTCTACATTAGCAATTCTTTCTTCTGACATGATTCCCCCCCCCCTCTTTGTAACGCAAGCAGGACTTTTTTTTAACAAAGAGGAAGGAAGTTTCTGTCAGTCTGCATCAAACTAGCACATCGGTGACATTTTGTCGAACGCATATGTTCGCTTCTTATGTTTGTTGATTCTTGCAACATTTTAAACATTTTCTTTATTATTATATTGAAACTGAATTAAAAATTGACATAGAATAATCTGCGACTAAATCTTGGGCTAATCGATCATACGTACCGTTTAGAACGGGACACTATCATTTTTTTAATATTTTCCGGCCGAGCCGTTGTTTTATTAAAAACGACCATTTTGTTTTGTTTTTAATAAAACTACAAATATGCTTTTACAAGACAATCATAAACTAGTGTTCGTACATTATAATAATCGTGTATCACTAAGCAGGGTAACTGTTGAGTTGAATTATTCGAACTGTTCCATTAGTATTTATAACCGCAGAAGAATTCTAAAACTCAAAGAATTATAAAAATTGTGAGATGTTTGGAATACAGACTATTTATCTAATAGATAAATACACGTAGAAGCTAGGCCAGAACCTCCGTAGTACCATAGGTGATTGAAAAAGTGTTGTTATGCGTCCGCCCCAATTTAGAATTCTGAAAGAGAATACCCCGAGAGAGGCCAATCCAAGGACCTCCCCCCTCCCTCTTCAGGAACCAGCCACCTTTCGAGAAGATTTCGGCTCGCCGTTATTTCGAGGGTCCCCCTTGTCGCACAAACACTATACGCTTACATACATACATCGATGTCTTCTCCGGGATTCTAACCCGGGCCTTTCAGTGCCACTAACCACTATCCCGCTGGAACAGTATATTAATCGGTAATTATAGAATTTTTATGATATGTACGAAGGTATTGATGTTGAAATGTCTGAAATGTTGAAAGAATATTTTTTGCCACAAACTGTATGTGGCCAAAAGCGAAATCTAGAATAAGGGACAACATAGTAAAATTATGCTAAACTTTGAAATAAAACTCTGTTACTAATGTGAGAAATTTTACGATAAAGTATAGGTTAGGTTAATTGATTAAGGCAAAGCAACTAGAGGCCTATCTGCATTTGGAAATGGATACCTTCATGGAGTAACTTTTCAAAGGAAACTGTTTCGTATTCACTTTATACATAGGGAAAACCACAATAAGATGTTAGAAAGATCAAAATGTGTGCAATGTAACATTTTCAGAGAAATAATTCACAGTAACCATGGTAAAATATTGATCTCATCTAATAAGTGTGCCTAAATTTTTATATGGGTTTTATCACTGAAGAATAATAGTAAGCTTAACACTTTTAAGTTATAACACATTTTTTAAAATCTTTCTTTGCCATAATTAACCCTCGTCTCGTTTGTACGATCCGAATGCCAGTTTTTGATTCACGGAAAAATGGTCAACCTACTAGTACTGCATCTGTTCAAATTTCAGAAGACTACCATTTAATAAATTATATTTTAAAAGCTATATCACAGGAAATTTTTCTTTTAAAGAATGCTGCATTATTTTTATAAATGAATTAATTCCTGCAGTATTTCACCTTTTTAAATAAAGTTACATTACAATTACAATTATTAACTATCATACAATTTTGAAGTCGGTGGTTTTCAAATTCCGTCGATTTAGGAAATTCATAAATATAAGTATAGACGTATGTATGTACACGTTTTGAAGATATCCTTTAACTTCAATAGGAAAGTAAGTATTATTCAAAAAGTATAGACATTAATATCAATGCCGCTTATACTTTTCGTGAAAAACAAAAATAAAATTATTATTACATTCAACAAAAATTTTATTGCTCTTCAAATTATAATAAAAAAAATAAAGAAGATTAATTATTTATTTTACACATTAATTTTGCGATCTACTTGGCATTAAAAGGATATTTCGAATTTTGATTTCGATTTACGCTACCCCTAAAAGAGTTGTATAGATCTCCAGGGTCCCGCAGAACACACCATTAGAAAAGAATATACTTTATATAAATCATCGCTTCTTGAACTTTTTTCATTCATGACTCTTTTTTACCATCGAGTTTTTCCTCAACCCCAGATATTAAATATATATCAAAGATATAAAAATAAATAATATGCCATAAATAATATATTACTTTGGTAAAAAGAAACATGTGAAAAGAAGTACTTCTAAGATTTGATTCAGCTATATAAAAATTAATAAAAGAAATTCACGCTTTTAATGAGATGGATGTGCTCGGTTTTTGCTGCATAACATATTCAATCTTGGCACAATATTTGACACTGACGGACGTAAAGCATCTTCAGCGTTTTTCAGAATTAAACAATATTTGAATTTAATATGCATTAGAGCTGAAAAAAATCTATTCACATAGGTATATGGTGCTTCAATGACAATAACACTGAACGCCGTTTCAGAAATTGTGGGAAGTTCAGTTTGAGCTCCGATCCAGAATTCAGTCAAGAATTTTGAGGAAATCGAAGTTTTAAATTTGGGTCACTCGACAGATCAACAAATTCCTTTTGGGTTTCATATGGCAGGTGACTAATCTCATTAAGGTAACGCTGCTTTAAAGCAAAACTTAGGCATACTTAAGATTAGACAGTAAGAACTGCCGAATGCCAAGGCAGGCTGTAAACTAGGCTTCTTCCATCTAATAACCAAATTGTGAATACAAAGGGAAAATTCTAGGAGGAAATCAAAAGTGCGACTCCATGCGAAAGCACAAGAGATAAAAAAAAGTAAAAACGGCGTACTGTGTTATAAAGTACAGCACGTCTAATGTACACATGACTTTCATATGCGTTGGGAAATCAGAAAATTAATTCCAGTCGCTTTATTGCGAGATTTATACTTGCGTAATATTTTGAAGAGTAACTCTTATTGTGGCAATATTTCGAGGTCTCTTGGCTTGATTTTTACAGTTAGAAGTGTCGGTGATTACAATAAATAATACAATAATTGAAATTAAATAAATATAGAGGTATAACTAAAACTTTAATTAATTAAGTTAAATTAAATAGCATAAAAATTAAATAATAAAACAAATATAAAATGAGCATATTAAATAATAAAACAAATGCCAGAGAGGTAAATTGATACTAAATAAGCAATGGTATGCCGAAGATAAAAGAAAGGTAGTATTTTAAACAGCATTCTTAGCGTTCAAATGAAATTGCTCGGTTACAGAATATAAAAATTCCTCTTCTTGAAGAGATCATATTTTGACGTAAGGATTATATTCCTCGGGTGTTCAAGCTTTCCAGTGTACTTTGTTCTTTCCAGTCAGAAAGAGGGGAAAAAAATCAGAATTTGTAGTCATCAGCATCAGTTTTATTAACTGTTAAATAGGATGTTGAGCTAACAACTGAATTTTGCATTAATATTACGATTCGGTTACGCAAAAATATATTGGAACACCTCTCATTTATGGGTCATACTTATGGTCCAGTTGGAATTATGATTCCATTCAAAAATTCAGAAGTACTGAAGCCGCGCTTTGGCTGAATTTAAGCCGTGCAAGGTATAATTGAAATCTTTTCCCCTTAAGAAATGGTCAGTTGGAAAATGTGAAAAACTATTAAAAACACACGATGAAAAATACTGTACGTTTCTAAAATTTTTTTAATTTCTTTAAACTCCTTCAAAATTTTCATACATTTTATGGGCAAGTTTAAGTATGGCCAACACTTGTGCATTATACCTCCTCCGTAAGTCTATTAGGTATAGCCGTTCCTTGCTAGCAAATAACAGGTACGCTTCGAGAAAGTTTCTATTTCTTTAAAAGCATTTAAAATTTGTATACATTTAAGGATTCAAGTAGATTAAAAACGTACGAGGTCTCGATACCATCTACAATAATTACTAGCAAAATATATAGCAGAAATAGAATAGCAAATTGAAATATCATAAAAGAAACTACCTTAATAATACAGGACAAACTTTACAAACGTTACCTTAATAATACAGGACAAACTTTTCTTTTAAAAACATCTCCAAAAATGCAGTGTCCTCCGCTCTGTGAGCCCTTCTTATATTCGGATCAATACGGTTGTGTGTACGTGCTCTACATTTTTTACCGCTATAAATTAGCTTGTTAGTATGCACGCAGCTTTTCATTTCTTTTTCGGTATAAATTAACTTGCTACACACACTCCTTCTTCAATGATAAGAGAATAACGGGTAAATAAATTCATCATTTCTTTATTTACTTTATTTAAAACACAAAGCCCTTTTACGTTTTAGCTTTTTTCTGAAACACCTCTTACGAGCTTCATCCATTCTCTGTGTTTTTGAGCTTAAAACACATGCTATTTTATTTCTAATTAACGATCGAATTCTTTGCTTCTTAAATCGTAGCATCTAACAGCTGCTTTATTTAAATATATGGTTTTCTTTTTATAAAAACTTTACCAGACAATGCACAACTACAAAAAAAAATTTCAGAAACTCGAGAGCTGAATTATAATAAATTACCTTCTCTTAGAGTAACCATATAATACGACTCTTTGCTAGGTTCACTTGCTCCTATAGCATTTACTGCAACAACTCTAAACGAATACACTGTATATGGCTGTAAGCCGATCACATGGTAAGATGTTTTGTTATCAGGAGTCATGATTCCCATTGCAGATTCCCACTCTCCCATTTCTCCAATCCTATAAATAAAAAAGGAAACATACATATATATTACAATTTTCAAAAACTTATGCATAAATTTAAATTGAAAATCAATTGAAAATAGTGAAGCAAAGAATAGGGGGAGGGGGGAATCAAACCCTTTTTTTTCTTTACTTTACAGTGGGTGCTGAGAAGTTTCAGGAAGGCATTCAGTGATGAAAGGGGACAAGTCAGGGGTTAGTCAATAAGAAGGCACTGAGAAACAATTGGGCGATAAAAACGTGCTTGAAAATTCGGTTGCTTAAACACATTTCAAGCAAACATTTAAACATTAATTTGTTTTCGTTGCCTTAGACAGGCTACTGGTTAGCGGAGGCTGACTGCTAGTCTCATCACCTGAGTGCAGGTTCGAATCCCACGTACGACTGGCTGTTTGCATCTGCCCTTTCGTACTTCGTGCAGTTAAAATATCGGTCTACCTCGTTCTACCCCCCCCCATTGCATCTCCCGCTGCATGAAAGAATAACCAACAAAGTATTCAAGTATCTACCCCATGTGGTGCTCCATGGGCAACTTTCTGGGTGATAAGATGGCTAAATGACCAACGAGTTCGGTCATTCCCGAGAAATGAATTTAACTGAATCTATTTGGGGACGAATAAATAAATAAATAAACACGTTAAATTTGTTTAATACAAATTAATGTTTCAAAATCACGGCTCTTTTACAAAAATAATTACAAATTATGTCAGTCAAGCCTTCACAAAACTTCGTTTAGTTTGCGTACAGTTTTATTTTATTATTCCAGAGAAACGAAACTTAAAAACTAACAGCGTAATGTTTTATAAACATGTCCACAAATCTAAACTTGCAGTGATATTCAGTACGTTCACAAGGCAAGTTCATTTAATACACACCCTTCTACATAGCAGCTCTGTGTTGAAAGAACCTGTGCATGCTTCAACAGGCCAATAGTATTAAATACGTTGGAAAAGCTTTAATCGCTGCCACTGTGTTTCTGTACTGCATGATGAATTTCAATTAATAATTTGATGCAATGCTATAAATACGCAAACAGTTTTATGCGTTTTCAATCAATGTGTGCAAAATACATTCAAAGGATATCTAATATCATAGGTGAGCGATTAAGATGGGTTTGAATGAAATCGAAGGGGCGCTGAACAAAAGAAAATCTCGAAAAGCGGACAAGCCCACCAGCGTCCCAGAAGTAAAAGCGCCGAACACAGCAGTCTGATAAATGCAGACAAACGAGCTAGTTACAAGGCGATCGTGGTTTTCTAAACGCGTAAAATGAATATGAGCCACCATCTATGAAAATTCCTCCCGAAGACATCCCTTCCCTTCCCTTCCCTTAGCCCTCGCGTACGTTGTTGGAATTGAAATAATGCAATCCAATTCAGAAAGCAGGCAGTGAGACAAATCTATCTAAAAAACTATGAACAAAAAAGTTGGTTTGGTTTATTTGATTACACAAAGCACACGAGGGCTATCTGCCTATAATGAGGGATGCCTTCGTGGAGGGTTTTCTAAGAGAAACTGACTCGTATACACGTTACATATGGGAAAAACCACGAAGACGCCCATGCAGCCCCTTCGCAGGCATCCGAACCCTGGACCGGGTTACCAGTGTTCAGCGACTTTACCACTTGGCCGCTTTTGGCCTAATTCTCTAAAAGTAGAACATCTTGAAATTACAGCGTAACAAAAATTCATGTTTACTAAATCCACCTCTAAAATGAAAATGCTCTGGGCAATTTCTAAACAGTGGCGTAGCAAGTATAACTGGCGCCCGGGGCAAAATACCTTTTTGGCGCCCCCCTTAAAAACTTTCAGTAATATAATATATAGAATATATTCTCAATAAGAAAATAATGCAAATAATAATAAAATGCTGAATCTGCCATAAAATACTCAAAAATATATTAAGAATAATCACTACCTAACTACTAGCCTTGGATTAGGAAATGCATCTGTGTCGGCACAAAAATCAGACGTACGATGATCTAGAATTAGTTAAAAAGATGTTATTTATTTTACATATTTATATAAGTGTTTTTAAAAAGTACAGTTTTTAAACAATTAAAAGTTTAATATACATTATAGATAAATAGATATGTGGCAACTTGCCTACTACAACTCAATTCTGCCAGTCTGGTAACCCATAGCAACCAAAAACAAAATAATATTTACTCTATTCAATTGTTATAATTATTTAACGATCTGTCTCAAAAAATTGTACTACCATAATTGGTGACACGTATTTATTACGAATAGCAACCTTCAATGTTGCACGAATATGGAGTTTATATGTCAAACTTCTGAGCAGCAGTAAGTTTATCCAGTGTGATGAGATGCAAGTAAGACATTTCACCTGTCATTTCAAGCGTTGTGCCGCATTCCGGCGAGTCAACATATTTCTGTCATAATTTTCAGCGGATATATGTATCGTCTGCTGTATTTGAGCCGCCAATTTCTCTGATTTCAAGTACCAAGAAACTGTGTCACTATATACATAGTGATTATTTTTCTATAGCATATTATTACTGTGCATATTTGATTGATCTAAAGTGGATGACAACGATGCTGCTTTACAACTTTTCGCGAGTCGCTGTTAAGCCACCGCCTTTTTGTCGCCGAGACCCATTCGTTATGGTTCATCGTTTCAGTTCAATTGGATGCGCAGTTTAAATTCAGTCACATTACTGCCGACGAAACTCAATTTTATACAGCGATCGCCGCGTTAGAATCAGAGGTACTGCAATCAGCTCGTGAAATAATTTCTGAATTCACCGGCGACGGACAAATACAAATCTTTAAAAAAAAATAAATTTCTTTCTGTTTATGAAGAATCCGAGACAGAATCAAGCAGTTATTGCACGATTTACGGTTGGGTGATATGAGGCCTTCTCAATCGCTGTCTAAAATGTAAAATGTCTAGCCGCCGGTAACCTAACGGATAACATTCTCAAAACAATATGGATGAATAGACTCCCATCTAACATGCAAACCATTTTAGCAGCCAGTACGAAGCCACTTAAAAATCTTCCCGAAACCGCTGATAAAATTCACGAGCTGACAATTCCAGCTCAAATAAACGCAGTGCAGGCTCCTGCTATTGTGGCGTTACAGGCTCAAATTGATGATTTGTCCAAACAGGTTGCTCAGTTAGTAGCCATCAAGCTGAAACATTTCAGCGCAACCGCTCCACATCACGTGGTCGAAATACACGTCGTAGCCCACTGAGGAAACGTTATGAAAGCCGGGTATTCCATAACCGGGTATTTGTTTTTAACCACCAACAAATTTGGAAACAAGGCAAACAAATGCCGCCCACCGTGTCGTTATAAAACGACCAGGGAAACGAGAAAGCCTTGCTCGAAGTTGTGAACGACAGCGGCCGGAATTTTGCAACGCCTTTTCGTCATCGAAAAGAATTCGGACTTGAGGTTTCTTGTAGACACCGGGGCTGATGTTTCTGTCGTTCCAATCCACCACATTTTCACGAACAAAAGCGCCTTATCACCAACTTACAACTTTATGTAGCAAATGGAACTCCTATTCAAACTTTTTATGAACGCCTGATATCTGTTGATTTAGAATTGCGGCCGCAACATCCAATGGCCATTCATTATTGCTACTGTTTCACGTCCTATTAGTGGCGCTGACTTTTTTTCAAAAATTTTCTTTGCTTGTCGATCTTAAGAATCCGCCGTTTGATATATTCCACAGCCAACTTAACTTATCCGGCATTAATTCGCAATAGTCAAGATTTGAGCATTAAACTGATTTCGGGTAACTCCCCATGGCATCAAACTTCCTCAGAGAATTCCCTACAAACACGCGCCAGTTATGGGTATTTTCGAACCCAAGCACGATGTACTACATTATATTGAAACTACCGAACCTCCAATTGCAGCTAAACCAAGACGCTTACCTCCGGACAAGCTTAAAGCTGCCAAAGAAGAATTTCAATACATGATAGAACAGGGAATTTGCCGTCCTTCAAAAAGTTCATGGGCTCTATCTAATTCGGAAACGAAATGGTAACTGACGCCCGTGTGGCCATTATCGTCGGTTAAATGCAGCTACAATTCCTGATCGTTACCCAGTCTCTCACATTCAAGACTGTATGCAAGTTTCAGAGGGAAGAGCTATTTTTACAACCCTTGATCTTGGGCGGGCGTATCACCAATTGCCCGTTAACCCAGCTGATATTCCAAAAACTGCGGTTATTACGACTTTTGGACCATTTGAGTTTCGGGTCATGACTTTAGGCTTATTCAATGCTGCTCAAACATTCCAACGCTTCATGAATCGGATGTTAATCGGCCTCGACTTTTGTGTACCTTATTTTGATGATGTCTTAATCGCCTCCTCTTCAGAGCAAGAACACCTACCACATTTGAGAACAGTTTTTGAACGTTTTCAAAGGTACGGTGTCGGTCTTAATCCTTCTAAATGCGTTTTTGGCCAACCGAAGAGTATCCTTTCTTGGTCATGAAACTTCCGCTGATGGTGTTCGACCCGCTTCCAGACAGAGTCACCGCTATCCCCGATATACCCGTACCATCTTCAGTGAAGGACTTAAGAATCTTGCTATGCTCAATTTTTATCAACGTTTCTTACCTTATGCAGCGACCATACAAGCTCCTCTAAATTACATTTTTGGTTTGAAGCAAGAAAAACGATAAACGTGTTACATAACCTGGATTACAGAATCTCGCGAAGCGTTCCAAAAATACCAAAAATGATTTAATTTCGGCAACAAATTTGCAGTATCCTTCCGCATCTAAACTATTATCACTCTACGTTTATAAGGTATTTCTCCCTCTTTCCTAGCCTGCCTTCGTGGTGTAGTGGTTCTGCACGCTGGAGCCAGTACTCCACAGGTCCGTGGTTCGATTCCAGGCGAAGGCGTTGCATATTTTTCATATCCTCTGCTTCCCAAAAATAACCTAATGTCTCTCCACGTTGACGTTGCTCAGCGTGGATCAACAACAGGCTATAGGAGCAGTTTA